AGCGTACATTGCTCCCTATGACAACGCAACCCCAATAGGCAGTTTACTCAAAAGGATATTTACATATACAAGATCTGTACAGTGTTTGAGTAATAAATATTGGAATCACATCAATCCCAATTTTGTAAAAACGAAAAACGTATATAAACAACAATTTTTGAGAAATTTGTACATGAAAGGAGGAAGAAGAAGCTCCTCCTACATCAGCTCTCGCCATTTCAGTTTTTACAGCGTCCTTTCCGAATATGAGCTGTCATCGCAGCATTAGGGACCAACATCGCTTTCTTATCATTTAAAAGAAAAGACAGTTGGCAAAAGCCGTTTATTTTGTATTTGAAAAATTCAGCTCGCATTGCATAACTCGTGTTACGTATAACCTCTTAATTAATTCCACCTGGTCATTGCTAATCAATTTTACTTTTAATTTCATATAAAATGAAAGTGAATGGGTTGACAAATGAAAGCGATGAGCCCTGGTCCCTTTCCAATGCTTATTCAGAGATGAAGAACAAATAATTAGAAGTAAATCATTCTTGTCGTTTGAATCCCACTCTCACCCATCAGAATTCACTACTCATCTCCATACTCTCAATGGCTCAAGGCGAACACCTTCCGATCCCTCTTTATCATCTCCCTTTCTCCTCTGCCCGCTCTCAAAACACCACAACACACAGCACCGGATCCACCAGCAACTTCATCATCGCCACACCTTCAACATGAAACTGCAAAAAGCCTCGAGTTCTCCGGTGCACCCTCTGTTGACGTCATGAGAGAAGGTAAGAGGAGAAAAGAGAGCTGGTAAGGAGGACGGACAGAGTTTGGGTTGAGCAATTGAGATTTGAGAGCGTTGAGGGTTAGCGGAGAAGGATTTAATAAAAGAGAGCAAGGCATTAATAAACGACGGTTGAATACATTCTGAATATGTTTTGACATCTGATAGTGATGGATTTTCATGTTTCTATTCTCCAGGAAAGTAATATTAAACTCACATGTTACTAACCATCGTCAAAATGCCCTTGCAGAAACTTTTAGAATGGATATTAACTTTACAAGTGCAAAATCATAATATTTTCTGGAAAAATAAAGAAATTTGATCTCTGAAAACATGTTCAATTCAGACATGTTAAGCGATCTGCCAGAACATCACCCAAAAAGTTGAATGTCAATCTGCACCTAATTACGCCCCCAAACAGCCACCAAGCGGGACTCATTCCTCTCAGAAAGTAAAAAACTTTTAAATACAAAAACGTGTATGTATGAGGCGACCCCCTCATTCGATGGAATAAGCAACTAAGAAAAGAACCATTGGTGAGGCTAATCGTGTTAGCACTGGCAAAAAAATCTCTTGTAAACAAGCAGAAAATTCATACTCATGAGGAATTTTTAGTACTACCCGTGACAATGTCAGTTTTGTTGTAGAACATCAATTCCGGTGAATTCAGGACCTGCCTGTGCCCTGAGGGCCCACATTGTATCGTGGTTAACAAAAGACTAAAAGGAATCCATATGTGCATATATTCGTTAGGTTGATGAGACGGCCTAGAACAACAATCTAAAAATAACAAAACTATGTCCACATAAAAGGAAGGAATTGAATCGAACGCAGAATTTAAGCACAATACACCAAGCAAATTAGCACAAAGAAATGCCATAACTAATGGAAACAGTGCCTGCATCAACTTCAGACAAGAAACGGGTGGTACATACAAAATCAACAAAGGATGCATGGTTATTTGCTATGTCACCAAAATTATACGGCAAAAGAAAGCCAGAATGAAAAAGAAGTGCAATGAGCAATAAGTCTTCAGCTACACAATGAGGGGGCAAAAATTGAAGATTTGCAAGATTGGAAGTGTAAAACATGGCTAACGTACTTGCTCTAAACCTAGTGAAGCATAAAACAGCAAATTATGATTGTTAGCCATGCACCAATTCCTGACGAAAGAAAAAAGGACCCATAGTAAAAACTCCACCCACCCCCTACAAAAAGAAAAAGAAAACACTTGAACCAAGAAGGAAAAGGCAAACAAGCAAACTATAACAAGAGACAGGAAACCAACTGATAGTAAAAACTCCACCCACCCCGTACAAAAAGAAATAAAACACTTGAACCAAGAAGGATAAGGCGAACAACCAAACTATAACAAGAGACGGGAAACCCTCACAAGACACAAAGAAACAACAGAGGGAGGCGATACTAAGAAAACTTTGATTCTGCCACGATTGAAACTCATGCAAACATGCATAGAAAGAAGAGTGCATCTGCTCAAGCACTGTATATTGGAAACCTATCTTACACTAATATCTCCTGTTATAGATTGAGTAACCTATTTAAGAAATTCTTCTTTTTACGAGGAGTTCTCACCTTCAGTTTGTCTTCTGTCAATGAAAAGCATCCAGCAACACGGCTGAATGGACTTCTATCCATTATGTGTTTCAAGTCAGAAGTGGACAAGAGGATGAATCTTTCATATCCCAGAAAAATGTCGGGATGATGACAAGCAAAGGACTTCAAACTGAGGGAGTAAAGTGAAACTCTCTGACACTGCTATAAGCAAATTTGTTGCTCAAAACTTTCACCAAAGAACAATCTTGAACTACCATGTGACTTGCAAAATTATACCCAACAGACACAGAAACATCACATGCTTCTAGTTCTTAAAACTAAGAAGCTGCAAACACGCGTAACTGAACATAATGGAAGCACAACATCATAAATCTAACCAAATGATAACAAGTACAACACCAAATAATCTTGACAACAAGTCCCATAAGTCCCACGGTAAGGAACAAGTACATAGCTCATTAGACGATCTAGAATGTGTACCAGAAACCAGACACCAAAAAGTTTAGCATGCAAAACAGTATTCCTAAAAATAGCAGCAAATATAATAAACCAATCTGCGAAAACCATACAACATCTGATAGGCTACACATGACCAATTCTTAAAAGAGGACCGACACAAGATACCAAGATAATGGTTACTAGTTGACAGACTAGTTACCGCTAGTACGACTGAACCGAAATCACGAGTGGGTGGAGTAACTCGACAACCGCCAAACAACAAGACAAAACTGACCTTTCCATACATTCATGTGTGACGCTGACGACTCTGAACCTTCTCGACCCACATTACTGTTTTAGACTCACTGTAACAGTAGCACGTTGATGAATCAATTTACGGATATGGATTCCAAGACAAAATATTAAAAAATTATGTAGCACATGGCCTTGTATAACAAAAAATTATTTATTTTGCATCACTTAGGCCAATTAAAAATGTAAAAAGAAAAAAACGTTAACAGTGTCAATATATAAACATGAATGCAAAATCATACCTGATTATCCTCATCAGCTGATTGCTCAGCCATGTTCTCCTCAGGTGGTTTTTCCGCACCGCAGTTCTGTCTATTGCACTTTGTCCTGAACGGATAGTTTATGTTGTTACATTTCGGGCACTTCCAACTCCCTTCTGGCATTTTTGGCTCTGCCACAGCAATCATAAAGCATGTTGTTAAGCTGCATTTTATTTTGTTTTTACACTTTACAATACTAGAAGTTCAACATAAAGAAATGAATGGTTTTTAGTTGAATTTCTCAACATGTAAGGACAAGCAAAAAAAAGGAGTTATATAAGGAAGAAACTTTACAAGGCTTCCTCATAAGGATTGTATACAATTTCAAACACCATGGACAAAACATTGATTGCAATAAAAGTGGCCATGGATTTCATACTATAGGCGAAAGCACAAAGCATATGATTGACATATACAAAATGATCATATGTACATAGACTTACTATTTGAACCTTTGGAGTTGTCAAATTTAGATCCCTGCATCAATTTTAGAGGAAAGACATTAGATAAATTAAAAACAACATTGAAAAAACTCAGCAAGAAGTTTAAACATGCTAAAAAACAAGCTACCCGTCATATGATATTTATTCATTTTCTAACCAAAACGACCTGCGATTTTATTACTAAGCCATGGATAGTTATTCGCTGATGACTCCTACTCAAGCCTATATTTGTTGTCAAATGCCTAATTGTTCAAAATATACACCAGGCAAATAATTCAGGTCCATCTTAAAACATTGTGATATCATGCATTCAGGTATTCCCAAATGATTAGTGAACTATGTAAAATAATTTGGATTTGCAGGGTTGCGTTATGATAGCATATATAGAACTTCCTTGGTTGTTAGTCCCATGTTCTTTACTTGATGAAGTAATCATTTTGCATGCAATTCTGTTAACTTAGTAAAGGTTACTGATGAAACAGATGTATATTTTTCAGCTGAAAATATGAGATCTGATTAAACTGCAAACAAGAAAAAGAAGGGATCACGTAATAGTTAGTTTGTAAATAGGGAAGCAGCTTCAAACCTTATGATGACCTATGGGAGGGCAAACAACCAAGAATTATGCATTCGGGACAATATTTACAGGAAGGTTTGGGGATGGTTCTAGTAACATGGTAAATTGAATGGTCACTTATAACGGTTCTTCATTATCTTTTCCTGAACATAGAAAATGACAGATTTGCTCAATACCTGACTTCCTGGCCTTGGTGTATTGCACTTCCTCATGTTACATACAGTTCGGAAGGCAAAGTTGAGGTTTCCACAAGAAGGGCAATTCCAGTCATCTTCACGCCCAGCACCTGTAGTGTGTAGAAACCGAGTTCACATCTACTGCATTTCAGATTTGAAAGACTGAACATTTTCTTTTTCAAGACAAACCTGCAGCCTTCTTTTGTGAGCTCTCCTCTGGATACGCTCCAGGCCTCGGACCCTTTAGAAATGCACAAATTTCACATTGGTAACCAAGTAAAGATGACAAACTTTCTATGGGTGTAGGTTCATTGTTTGAGCGAGCGAGTAGAAAGATCTTAGTCTTACTAGGCCGAAGTGATTAAAGGCTATATAGAAGTGCTCATGAACCCATTAAAAGAATATAAAAGTTTACTCAGCTTACCATAGCGCCATGTGTCATCATAGGCAATCCAAGGCCATATCTGTCCATCATAGGAGACATACCATACATACCACCTACATTAAAGGAGGACCAATCGGTTGACGAGGAGTACAAGTAGCCTTCGGAAAGGTAATTATACATAAGAAATGGAAAGTTCAAACAAACAAATATGTGTGATTTCTTCTATAAAGAAGGCTATTAAAATTCTTGTGCAAAATCAAAACTCAATCAGTTAAATTTAAATATTTTTTTAATAAACAGAAAGCATGAAAGAAAGTAGGCGAAGAGATGTTACAATAATAAAACCTCCTAGCCCAAACTTAATTTTAGAATACCTGCTCCCATCACAGATCCACTTGAATAAGAAGGTCCAGACATGTGCAATGGCCCATATGGGCTCCCAACAGATCGGTTTCCATAATCGAAAGGGTAGGCAGAATTGCCTGGGAAGCGGAGATTATATGGAGAAAGAGCAGGACCATTGTGAAGTGATGAAGCATAAGGAGGAGCACCAAGATACATCGAAGACGGAGCAGCAGCACCCATATACCCACCAGCTGATGATGCATAAGCTGGCGGTACGTGGGGAGCCTTTGGAGCAAACTTCTGCAATGAGACAACAGTAAGCAGAAGAACGTAGTTAGCTAAATCTATATATACTACAATGAAAATATCAATATGGCAAGGTTACATAGCACAATAAAAATAAATATGAAAATTTAATTTCATGTAAGACACATTCCTACTCTTGCTAATCTAAATATTGATAGTTCTCGCCTTTTAAACTGAGAGCTTAATGCATCTCCTACAATCAAAATTATTACCGGTTGCAATATTGTGGTAGCTTGCTCACAGCCAAGCCAGACGCTGATCAGATATACATGAATCAGGAAAGATGTGAAAAAATACTGATGGTCCACGTGGAGCAAGAATTTTGACGAACATGCAGAACAATTTGCTTTTCCATGAAAAAGCCCTTTTTCATTGATGATTATAATAATCATGAAATATATTTACTTCCATTAAATTCATAACATGGAATACTAAAGACTGATAGAAGCAAGTTGGTAGAAGAATAAAAGGAAGAAAAAAATCTTGAATTATGCTAATAAAAATATGCATTCATTTAGTAGGAGCAAAGATAGATCATAATGATCTTAAGTCCAAAAACAAGAAGCAATTACTAGATAGATATGGACATCCATCACTGTAAATCCTTGTCAAATAAAAAAAAGTTAGAAAACAATCGTTTACATTACATGACAAGAAATTCTTTTAATGTTTAACGGTGATGTAGTGCTCAGGTAGCTAAACTACTTGTGGTTAATTTTAATTGATAACTTGGAATAGTGGGACAAAAACAATTGAACACGATATGCATCGCTTGTTTTGGCGTGCTATTCTTCCTACATCATTTATCGAAAGGGAGTTTTCTGTGGCCTAAGCCTGTCTAAGAGAAACAACTGCCTATACATGTATAATAAATGTGCATGCATACACATGTTCATGCAAACATACATATATATAAAGCTCTTAGGTAAATTCTTAATCAAATCTATTTCAGCCATACTTACTGTGTTGTGATCTGCTGGCCTCGACTGAGAACAGTTGTGCATGTTGCATGTTGTCCTGAATGAGAAATTGACATTTCCACAGCTAGGGCATACCCAGTCATCTTCTCGACGGCCACCTAAGAAAACAGAGAAACAGCCGGTTATATCCTATCCTTGTGTTTCAGCAAGCAAACAACTCATAAGTAAGAAGGGGGGGAAAACCATATATTGGTAACAGGAAAAAATATGCATGTTAAGACCGTTATATTATTCTTGACGGACTTAAACTATAGACAAACACTCACATTACTTTAATGTACTCCAAAAGGATCACTAATCCCTCCCACAATCTAAAAACTAAACACTTCACCTCTTGAATCACCAGGTCATAAGAGCCTCAAAATTAACTATGTGATTTCATACAATTTTTTAATGTTATATCATGCACACACAAGGTTTGCTCATCCTCCTAGAAGCATAATCAGTTCAAGCATAAATTAAATAAAGAAAACCATAGTGAGCAAAATAAAAAAAACAAGATGATTATACACACCAAAAAAATTTAACCCCGTTCTGAAAATGGTACTTCGCATTATCGGTTCATATACACGAAAAAGGGAACAGGAAAATCAACAGCCATGATATACAGTACAACTAACTAGAATGTCCAAATCAACAGGCCTACTAAAACTAATCCTCTTTAACCAAAAAAAGGCTTCTTTTATAGATCTATATAGAAATCGTCTGGAAGGCTATGCAGAGTATCTTAACAAAATAAAAATTTACTGAATTATTAATATGCATAATAGTAAATACCTTGTGTTTTGGATGCTTGTGCTTGTTGTCTAATATACACTCTCCATGCAGCATTTGCATGCAGTAAGGTGCTGAAGTACACAAACTAACCGATGCAATGAAATCTCATGTCATACAGAGACGGATGTTCAAATTGTGATACTTGTTTCTGTTTGCTAGCATATATAACAGAACCAAACTGCTAGATGGCGAATATTACCACGCCGGATTTCACGATTTTCTAGCAAATGATTAATTCTCGCATCTAAACCAATGTGTTCATGAGTAATTCCAAAGGCATTCTTAAGTGTTGACATGTTTTAGAATACCTAGTTGATAAAAAAAACCTATAAGCTGTGTTCGGTTCCAAAGGAATTCAGTAAGGTGCAAGTAGGATTCCAGTTGACCGTATCAAGATTGATGATATCCCAGCAGCAACAGTAACAAATTATTACCAGATAAATAAAAAAGCAATAAGTATTGACAAATAACCCAAAATAAAACGCATTCTTCATCACAAGCCTCAACGTCATAACAAGCAAAATTCAACGCCGTACCGTCAGTTCGAGCTCGCTTTCCCGCGGAAGCATTGCGGTTGTTTACCTACAAGAAAAATCCCAGACAAAACAAAAGTTACCCGCAGAAATTCATTTTCCGGGAAACGACCAGATGATTGTAAAACACTAGCGGCTAATTAGGCCTCGTAAACAACACCAAAACATATCAAACTGAGGCCATATGCTCTAAAATTACCGATTTTAAGTACCCTTTCAGCTTCAGTCGTTAAAACTAACCCGAGTCGTGATCCCAACCGTAAAAAAAAAGAATCAGGGTAGCGAATCTATACCCACACTCTAACCCTAACCCTAACCCTAAGCCAAGCAACGCTAGGGTTTCTAGTAAAAACAACAGGAAATCTAACCCTAACCCTAACCCTAAGCCAAGCAACGCTAGGGTTTCTAGTAAAAACAACAGGAAAATCAACCCTAGATCAAGGGCGGTGAGATCTCTAAAGCAACGCTAGGGTTTCTAGTAAAAACAACAGGAAAATCAACCCTAGATCAAGGGCGGTGAGATCTCTAATAAGAACAAGACTGAGAAATCGAGGGGGGTTTGTAGAACCTGAGACATGGCGATGGATCGGGGTCGAGATCTGCGGGAAAGATTTCGAGCGGGCGGGAGAGGAACCTCGAGGGGAGGGAAATGTTTGGGGGAGGAGGTGCGGGGGCGGTCGGGTTTATGAAGGAGCTAGGGTTTCGATCGGATCGAATACTCGGGAGGGGAGGGAGCGGGTTACAGCTGTACATTTGAACGGGTAGGATATGCTTCGGGCGCTGAACCCGATTACCCGAATGGATTTAAGTCTGAGCTATATTTGCATTTTAATTTTTAGGGGAAAATGTTTTAAGACCCCAAAATATTAAATGGGATGTGACTAGGCCTCCCTTATTTTTTTTTGGGTGTCAAAGCCCCAAATACAAGAAACACTTGTGTTTCAGCCCCTTTTTTCTTTTCCAAGATAACACAGTGAGCCATTAATTAGGAATACCTAAAATACCCTCAACTCCTTCCCCTTCCTCTCAAGACCTTTTTGGCTTCTCTCCCTCTCATCTCTTCTCACGCTCAAACCTCCGTGAAATTGGGCGGAGGCGACAACGAGAAGAAGACGCCACCGTCGGTGAACGTGTGCGGACGAGGGAGGAAAATTTGCTTCGATGGCGCTTTGGATCCCATCCTCCTCCACAATCACTGATACCTCCTGCCGCCTCGGAGGTGACCTGACTGCGGCCACCGACACTGAAGCCGATCTACTCTTCCTCAACCTCCTCTAAAACCGAAGGTATCACCTAGTTTGTTACTTTATATCATGCAGTTTTGATTGTGGAATTTTCTTTCCCTTATATGTGAAGGTTATAACCGATTGGGGTGAATACGAATCAAGTAACTACTCCTGATGCTTAATCTGATGTCATTTGTGGGAGGCTAGCAGCTGAACTTCTAATAGAAGGATGACAACAGAAGAATCAAGCAGAGACATTTGATAAGGATGAGAAAAAGTTGTTCTAAAAATTGATTGGTTGAACCAAAACTTGTGTGCATGTCTGTATTGTGTATATTTAGTTTAGTTGTGTAAACAATCGATGTGGATGACAAACAATGTAGCAAGTTTGACCTTTATTGTTCTTATTGTATTTTCTGACGTGGATGACAAATAATGTAAACAGTAACATGTTAACTTTCATAATAATATGTTAACATTCTTCGTAACATGTTAACTTTTATTATAATATGTTAACCTTCACTATTACATGTTAACTTTCACCATAATATGTTAACTTTCTTCGTAACATGTTAACTTTCAACTAAATATGTTAATGTTTATCATAACATGTTAACTTTCAACTGAACATGTTAACGTTCACCATAATTGGGGATTTCTTCTTCAACTGAACATGTTGGTTTTCAAATATAAGCAGCTTGGTGCAATGGAGTTTTGATACTGCAAATAATTAATGTAGTCGTTCCCAGATGATATATTAACTTTCTTCATAAATTATGTCAACTTTCATCATTATATGTTAACTCTCCTCGTAACATGTTAACTTTCAGCTAAACATGTTAACTTTCATCGTAATATGTTAACTTTTACTGTTACATGTTAACTTTCATAATAATATGTTAGCTTCTTCATAACAAGTTTTTTTGAACTAAAATTCGATGTGTTTGAAAGACTAAAAGTCTATCACGATGATTTATCATTGATATATAAATCTGAGAGGCACCCAAAATAGTAGTTGTATGGAGATTCATATGCAAGCTGTTGTTTATATAGAGAGTTCTATTTTTTTTTAATCTGAAAGTTCTAACTGAGGAAAACTTGCGTGGCAAGTATGAAAAAACTCTTACCGAGTTCGAGAACTCTAGACGAGTTATAACTCTTATGAAAGAGTTGATTTGAACCGAGTAATCGTTTATTAGCCAAGCCAAAGAGCTCCGAGATGATTGAAGGAGAAATCCCTAATTATGGTGAATGTTAACATGTTCAGTTGAAAGTTAACATGTTAACACGTTCAGTTAACAGGGTTTTTAAACGCTTCTACGAAAATAAAGCCGTGAAAGTTAACAGGTTTGGATGAAAGTTAACATAAAGCAGCGAAAGCTAACATACAGTATGAAAAGTTAACATACTAGGAGGAAAGTTAACACGTTCAGTTAAAAGTCAACATATAATTATTATAGTTAACATGTTCTGGTAAAAGTTAACATATAGCTATGATATTTAACACACGATAGTGAGAGTTAACATGTAACCGTTATGAAGAAAATTGACACTGTTACTCAATCTGCTACACCTTGAACCCCCATTTCTATCACGTCATTTCTATTACAACAATCAGAAACAACATTGAACACCATTCAATCAATCCATCATCATCATCATCTACGGCAATCACGACACTTTTGACATGCAAATCACAAAAACCAACTAAAAGAAGCACTCAATGGTCTTGTTGCCAATTTTCTTCCAAACATCAACCTACTACAACGTCCTCCTCCTCGAGGTGGACTCGAATGTCGCCCGAGGCATCAGCCCAATGTCTTTGAAGTGGAGGCAGCTTTAGCAGACCAAAATAGAAAGAGAATTCCATAAGCGTCAAAGTAGTTTACCCAATTTTGTCTGAAGATCAAAGATTTAGTATTAATTTGTTTCAAACAGTAATTTTAAGAAAGTTGAAAGATGATTATTACCACTTACCTCACAGTTAATGGAAAAAGATCAGCCTTATTAACAAGAAGCAAAGTTTTCTTGTGCTCATCAATTTCACGTGCATATGCCTGCACATCAAAGATAGTCCTTTTACTTATGAAATGCCAAGACTTAGTTGGCAACATAAGATCACCAATAAATATGTTGTGTTGCTATAATTCTTTGAGGTCATGATCAATGATATCTGCATATGCATACGAGCATAGTTCTGTCAGATTCTCACCTTATTTTACAGCAAGAATGTCCTTAAAATAAGGGCAAATTGAAAAAAAAGGATCAGATGGCATAATCGATTCACATAAACTGCAAAAAAAATCCATTTACTATTATTAATTCACAGTAAGTACTCAAAATCTCCCTCGTCCGTACACGTTCACCGACGGTGGCGGCTTCTTCTCGTTGTTGCCTCCGCCCAATTTCACGGAGGTTTGAGCGTGAGAAGAGATGAGAGAGAGAGAAGCCAGAAAGGTCTTGAGAGGAAGGAGAAGGAGTTGAGGGTATTTTAGGTATTCCTAATTAATGGCTCACTGTGTTATCTTGGAAAAAGGAAAAAGGGGCTGAAACACAAGTGTTTCTTCTATTTGGGGCTTTGACACCCAAAAAAAATAAGGGGGGCCTAATCACATCCCATTTAATATTTTGGGGCCTTAAAACATTTTCCCCTAATTTTTAATACCCCAGTGATTGGTGTGCAAAAATATATCTATATGGGTTACTAAAATTTATAACCTACTTATCTACTCCTCTATACAAATGGGTCACTATTCACACTACAGTAATTACTATAATAACATGTAGTATTATTACTGTAGCAAATATGAAATTGATCGCGACAAACTTTTTTTGAAAAAATATTATTGTAACACAAGGGACTGTGGTAGGGGCGGGATACTGTAGCAATTCAAAAAAGTCAAAATTTTTATTATAACAATAAACCGGAATTACTGTAGCGAGGAAAAAAATTATGTCCGTGCTTTGCACAGTGTTCACACTAGTATAGTAAAATACGCAAACCCGTGAAAGTAGCAAAAAAAAAGAGAGAGCTTTGGACGCGACATGTGCATATAAACTCGTTAGCCCTGTGTCAATTTGCATCAGAAACTTTCTACATAAATCTTTGCTTGCACAAATTTTCCCCGCGTGCGGAGGTCCTTCCATGCTACCATTTTCATTTCGGGTGCAGCAAACCAACAAAAGCTTGAGCAAATTTTTAAGCATCACTTTTTTGGTAATTGATGCTTGAGCAAATTCTTAATGTTTTCAATATGTCAATAGCAGGAAACGCCTCAAGACATAACTTCCCAATTTCAAATCAGACGGAGAAAAATCTCGGTTCTCGCAGATACCGAAACCTCTGAAGACAGGAACAGCAAACCTTTCGATGCTAGAACTCAGCATATCATCAAACTTCATCCGTTCAGAAACGAAGAAGTTCGGTAACATTCACAATATACAATACTCGAAGGTTGCCTCTCTTTCTATCAAGACGACGGTTGCAAATATCTCAGAGACGCACTTGCTCGGCAACTACAACTCGGAGAGTAGAAGACAGAAAATTCTTTATGCTCACAAAGATGTAGCCTTTCCAAATTTAAAATAAAACCGCGAAATTCCGTCGATTACAAGGCAGAAAAAGGAGCAGAGACTAACCAACCTAAAACTACAACTAGAATTTAGATGCAGCATAAGAACCTAATCATCTTCCAAAAATCAACTACAGAAAATACCTTGCGGAGCACTTTCTCAGCAACTAAAATCTGGATAGAGTTGAGCGTATCAGGCGCAGAAAAAGCTTCATGCGTGCAAAGATCGGAAACCTCCAATTTTCCAAAAAAAAAGAGGATGAAATTTGGTACAGCAACAGAAATTACAAAGTCCGCCATGCTCACTACATTGCCTTCTAAAAGCACTAGAACGCACGCGCAACATACTAAATTTATCTATACAAAGTTCAGTTATGTTCTACATATACAAGCTCAAGGCTGTTTCTTCTTTCTATCGTTTAAAACCAAATGCAGAAAATGCCTTCTAAATCACTTTCTCCACAACTAAAATACGAGTAAATTCAGCACATAGCCATAGAAAATTTCCATGCGTGCAAAGATGGAATCCTTTCCTATTTTTGAAATTTGTTAGAGCAACCTAACGCTACAGCTAGAACATACATGCAACATACCAAATTTATTTGCTTCAGCTACAAAGTTCACTACGTTGCCCATAAAAGTAAGTGCAGAAAATACCTCGTCAATCACTTTCTCGGTTGCTAAAATATGGAAATTTAGCCATCAGCCATGAGAGGAATTCCCACACTTGGAAAGATAAAAACCTTTCCGATTTAAAGGAAAAACAAAATGAAATTGGCAGAGAATAAGACTGGAAAAGGAACAAAGAACAAACTAAAACAACTCGAACTTACATGCAACATATCAAATTTAACGCTTATAATTCAGTAACAAGTTCAGTAATGTTCTAGATATACAACACTGAAGGCTGTTCCTCTTTCCATCTTCTAAAATCATCTGCATAAAGGAAAATGATAATTGTACTACCGAGTTCTATCTTCTTTTGTACTGTCACCAACAAATGTGTGGGGCCCTCTCTAGGAAATTGCCACACAAAAAAATTTATGAGTCACTCATCAAGGACCCAACTTTTTTGTTTGTGATAGTACAAAAGTAGTATGAACTTTGTCGCATGGTTATCACTACAACCGCAGAAAATGCACGTAGATCACTTCCTCAGCAACTAAAATCTCGACAGAATCAGCAGATCGGCTATATAAAAATTACATACATGCAAAGATGAAACCTTTCCAAATCAAAAAAGTAAAGACAAGATGAAATTTGGTAAGGCAAACCTAAAGGACAAATTTTCAAAACCAACCTATTTGGACTTTTATTCCCCAAAAACGACCCCATTCAAAAATAATTACCAAAACCGACCTGGTTTCAGCCTCAGCGCTGAAACCAGGTCGGTTTTTGAAAAAAACTCTCCGAAACTTCACGGGAGTTGAACTCCCGTGAAGTTTCATAGTTCAAAAAACTTCACGGGAGTTCAACTCCCGTGAAGTTTCGGAGAGTTTTTTTCAAAAACCGACCTGGTTTCAGCGCTGAGGCTGAAACCAGGTCGGTTTTTGCAAATAAAACTGAATGGGGTCGTTTTTGGGGAATAAAAATCCAAATAGGTTGGTTTTGAAAATTTGTCCCAAACCTAAACTACAATTAGAACTTACGTGCAACACAGCAAACATATCTACATCAGCAACAGAATGTTCACTGCATGCACTGCACTATAAAATCAACTGAAAATGCCTTGGTGATGACTTTCTCAGCAACTAAAATCCGGACATGATTTAGTCATCAGCCACAGAAATTTCCCATCTTGCAAAGATATAAACCATTCCAACTTTTTTAAAGATGAAATTTGGTCGAGCACAAGGCAGGAAAAGGAACAAAGAGCAAACTAAAACTTACATGCAACACACCAAACTTATCTACTTCAGCAACAAAGTTCTGTTATGTTCTAAATATACAAAAGCTCAAGCATGTTCACCTTTCTATCTTCTTCTGTTGTTCACTTCTACACCTTCCTTCTTCATTCAGTCAGTCGTCATTACGCAACACCGAAACCGTGCTTTGCGCACGGTGGACCCGATCTCGACCTGTGCGTACTCGAGAGTTTTAACAATATCCTCGAAGGAGGGACGGACGTCAGGGTTTGAGTCCCAGCTGCGGGTCATGAGATCAGCGAGCACAGGAAAACAGTCGGTTGGGATGTTCGGCCGAGCACCCCTGTTTACTACAGCAAAGGCTGCTTGGACTGCTGTCATGTTCTGAAATGGGAGCAGTCCTGTAACAAGTTCCCACAGGACGATACCGAAGCTGTAGACATCAACTTTTTGGGTGTAGGGTCGGTGCTGGATCATCTCCCTGGAAAAAGAAGAGGGTTTTGTGAATTGATATGAGAAAAGGAAAATTGTAAAAAATAAAACGATGACATTTTCTTGCAAATAACATGAAAATTTCCATATTTTAACCGCTGTCTGATATACATACACTATATTAGAACAAGCCTCAAACATAGGAATGAATCCATCTTATCCATTCATCCACAGGAAATAGTATTTAGTAACCTACCATTTTGCTACTTACTGCACTTAGTTGTTAAAAAAAGGGGTCAAGAATGGATGGAAGCTACCAACACAAAAAACACAGAACGAAAAAGAAACTAAAAGAAAAATGAACAGTGAGACATAGAATTCTCCTTCGATCTATCAACAACCACTAGGCAAATGACAAACAACAAATTTGCAGACAGCGAACCAAAATAAGAAGTTTAAAAACTAGGACAATCACCGTTTGGCCTGCAATCTCGAATAAAAATCCTTAGTTCTGGAGCATGTAATTGATACAGGAAGCTAACACATTCCTTCTTCATAGTGCCACATCTATTTAAGAAATTATGACGAGCAAAAGTAGAGTGGATGTCCAAATATTAGTGAAATTTTCGCTTAACAATCACTGTCCCTCCCTTTCTCAATGACTTACATTTAAGCAATCAAAAAGGCAACCATAGGTTAAATGTCTGTATATCTGCGCCCTCACATAATTTTAAAGAGATAAAGAAAGCCTCCACCTCCCTCCTACATAGAACGTGCATCATGCACGCTTGTGCTTGCCTATTAGAATTTCTTGTGGAACATACATGCACATGTAAGTAAAGATATTACTTGATGTTCAGAAGCCAGAGAAGCCAGAGCAGTGATTTCCACAAAATAGAGAACTTTTCATTAGTCTACAGGCAAAGGAAGAAAGCGTGTTGCTAGCTGAAAAGGGTCTAGGGACTGCATGTGAGATCTCCAAATAATTCGGAAGCTCAGAACGACCGATGAGGTCACAAACCAACATGTGCACGGGCTAACCAAGCTTGGGAGGTCAAAGACCCACTATGTGGTCATATGCCTTATCAGCCCATGTCGGCAATCTCATACCACCCTTTTCAGCAATACCACTAGCAAACAGTTATATGAACGTCGTTTTTTTTTTGTGTTGGGGGGGGGGTGTCAACGACAATATTTTCGCTTTGGCGCCTTTCCTAGTGGTAATCTTCAAGAGTAGATACTGACTCAAGCATCAGAGAAGCAACTTTGGGAAACAAATCACTGACAACTTCTTTTGTGTGTGTTATGTCAGTCTGCATAAACGTTGTTCGCTACATGTGTTTCTCGAACTATAACTATAACTCTTATTCGTGATCTCGAATGCCCAACCCCTGTTGGCTGGTGCGGCATCACTTACCATGCTTCCCATGGGTGGTTTCCTGAGTGCACTTTTGGATTCTAAGCACTACAGGTAAATAAACAAACATGTACATGTACAACAAGTTAACATATGTATTCTCCAACTAACAAATAATTTCATTTATGATTTGGAGAATGAACACCCATTCCTATAGATGAAAATGTAGCACAAAAGGTGCGTATAAGTTAGGCTAAGGCTTTTTGCTGACTCGTGTTTCCTTTTCCGGGTCTTTCTTCCCTCCTTTATATTGTGATCCCATCTCATGTATGGTCTATCAACTGTTTAGGCAATGAAAGTGTTAGGCATTACCATTGTATCTTCACTCTGGGTCAAAGCTGACCTGCTTGTAAATAGATTATCTTTGATCCATTATTCAGGAAGATTAGTAGCAATCTGATTTTACGAATTGGCTCCGTGACTCAAGATAACACATGAGACAAGCCTAAACAAAGTCAACTCATTTATTCTTCAAGGACTTAAGAGTTAAGACTACGGGTTGAAAATTGCACGTAACACACATGTGAATTCAGGTTCACGTAGACCATCCATTTACTCAATGAAGATTTGGGCAATCAGAAATGAGATAAGAGAGTCCCTCGGCCTATATTTGGAATTGTGCTCACTCAAAGATAAAACAAGGTAAATGCCAATAATTATATACCTAGTTAAGCTTAATATTGTTTACTTTACTAGTTATCCAGTGATACGTATTTTCTAATTCCTAAATAACAAGTACTACATTAATGATTGAGCGGCCGCAAATAGAAGTGGAACCATGAAGCTATAACAAACCGTTCGTATTTAGCTCAAAGTTAAACAACCCAAGGTTTTAAATGTCGGCCGACATGTCGGACATGTCGGCCGACATGTCGGTTTGAGGGCTTGATCGACACAACATGGACGTTTTCAACTCGTATGTCGGTTTTCAGAGCCAAATCGGAAATATCAGGGTCATATCGGGCATATCGGCCTATTTTTTAGCTTTGAAAAATTGGCCGATATGGTATTTTTTTTAAGATCTGTTTTTTGTTATCGGGTTTAGGTTTAGTGATAAATACCCAAACCTGTTTGACCCATACTCATATTTAAGAGTTTCTTATGAATCCGATGGCAAGAATTTATGAACCCAAATCCATATATTATTTACTTTTTTATATGTTTAGTTTATAGAATTTCTAAAGTATGCTTATATTGAATTTATGAATGCTTAGATTACATTTAGAACATGATATTATACATATGTGTACTACCCGATATGGCAATCCGATATTTAGTCAATGTTCCCCGATATATCCCCGATTTTCGCTATCCGATATGGATTTCAGCCATCCAACATGAACCCGACATCCGACATTTAAAACCTTGAAACAACCTATATTAAAAGATGATATTATGGCTCCAAAATTATAAATGTGCTATATTATAAATTGCATAGAATAATGTCAATTGAAGCTTGCGCATGCCTAGGTTTGATTATCTTGTAATATGCCTGGGCCCAAAAGTTCTATTTGTTCTCAGCTTATAGAAGATAAAAATCAAGACGGTAAATTCAGTTAAAAGTGTCATTCAAACACATTGTGTGTGCCAATAGGCATGAAGTGCCACCTTTCTAGGTTTGGCTATCTTCTCACATCTCTAGGCTCATACACATTAAAATTCGCCATTTCAGGAACACAGGGCTAATTTTGTACTAAGCACCTCACACCTCGCAATATGACAGAAACTAAAGGTTTTCAAAGTAAGATCTTGAGAAGCCAAAGGTGCCCAAACACACCCCTGAGGAGTGCAAGGTAGTTGCTTTCTTATCATCTCTACTTGGAGATTCGAGGGGCTATCAACCTCTTTTTTAATGTGGTAATTTATTTCAAATGAACTGTTTTAGGAAACTATATTTTGAAAAAAAAAATATTAGCTTGATATATTAAGCCAAAATAGAACTTATTAAGGATTATTTATCCTTCAATTATAACCTTCTCTTTTTTCCCTTGGCATTTGAGCACCCTCGATCACTCGTAAACATTGTCTTGGTAAAATTTCTCCTCTTTCTTTTTTTTTTAATCTGTTAACTTCTATTTTTGACTTATTTTTATGGTATTATATACTTTTGAGAACAAGCCATATGTTGAGCTGAAAGGTCAAAGCTATCACTTAAATTATATATGTTAGTAGTTTTTTTTAATATGTTAGTGCTTATTAATTAGTATTTAGTACTTGTTCGTTACTACTTACTATTTGTATAGGTAATCCACGTCTTTTTGCTTATCAAAGTTCTTCACTTCAAATATGTGCTCGTAACTCATCTACTTGTGTTTTATGATATTGTGTTTAAAAGCATATTAGATGTAGTTTTATAAAAAAATTTAATATTGTCGGACTTGTTGCACTCACGTGATCGCTTTTTTGGTCTCTCATCTCAGGCAAGATGAACACTTGTCGTCTCGGCCTTATGCGATATAGGACCTTGTGGCCTTTAAAAAATTGCCCACAGACTGTTTGAGCTTATCAAAGGTAGGTATCAAGGTGGTAAATTATCTTGAAAATGGGTCGAGAGGCAGCTAGTTCAGCCGTTGGGTTTGGAGGATTTAATGGTACCCGCTAAAAAATGGTCACTTTGCCCAACGGAACCTCATTGATCACCCCAGATTCTTTTATTTCCGTGTAGAGATTATTTCCTTCAAGAGTACACACCTTCTTGGTGCCACAACCATTCTTTGCAAAGCAGTACAAGTGGTTCCATTAGCATTCACATAACTAAAAAGGCCTTTCCCCTATGATTGATTACGTAGCGACTATGGTAAAAGGTCACTGTTATAAATAGTGGTAAATAGCGCCGCAATAGCGGCACTAATAACGTTAGCGTTCCCTTCCCGCTATACTATTGCTCAATAGTGGTGACATACTACGGAATATGCGTTTTCCGCTCACAAAAACGACCAATAGTGTGTCATAACGACATGATTTTAAATGTCACCGATATGTCGTCGGATCAGAGGTTAGAGCGACACGGATATGGCCATTTCAAGTCGGATATCGTTTTAGAGGCCCATGTCGGACATGTCGGGTGATATTGCGAACATATCGGCCAATTTTCAACCTTGAAAAATCAAAAATCAACCGATTTTATTTATTTTTATTTATTTATTTATTTATTTGAGTTGATAAGTATTAGGTTTGAGTTCAATACTCAAAAGCCTAACCTAATTAATTCTTTTTTTAGTCTTTGTTCCCATAGTAACCCGATAGCATATAATATAGATTAGGGCAAAGAAAAAAAATATTGTTCTCTTTCTCGCCGCGATCTCCTCTTATTCGTCTTCGTCTCTACAAATTGAAATTGAGAATTATAAAAGCATCATGTAAACAATAAGTTTGAACCGTAACTTGAAATCAATTCAAAGTCTAACATTTTATGTCAATTTTATGTAAGGCGCTTTACTTCATGTTAATTTTATGTAAGCCACTTCAAAAGTTCTAGTTTGACAATGTGTATTTTATTTATTTGTTGGAATAATATTCTAATGTTTCCCTTTAAGAAATGAAAAACAACTCGTGTCTTGATGATGAATAGTTGAATACTCAACTCGAGTAGGATAAACTATAACAAAACAAATGCATTCCATCTTAGTGACCAAAATTGAGTAGAAATCATCTGATATGGCAATCCCATATTTAGTATATGTCCTCCGACATACCTCTGATTTTTACTATCCGACATGAATTTTAGCTATCCGACATGAACCTGACATCCGACATTTAAAACCTTACATATTGGTAAATAGCGGACGATTGCGGCCAAAATCCGCTTTTTGACTGATATCTAAATAAGGTCTGAAGTGTAGTTTTTTAAAATTAAACCCAACCCGCAGCCACTGCATCCCATCGTCTCCCGCGAATTCTGGCGTATTCCCGCTGTCTCCCACAGTCTCTAGCACCTCCCTCAGTACTTCCTCTCACCTCCTCTCGTCGTGAGCTTCTCCTAATACAGTCCTCTCACTGCTCAGCTCATCTTCTTGAAGACGATGAATCTTTGAACTCTTTCTCTAGTCATCTTCGTATTATATGACACTTACATGTCTATTTCATGTTTAGGCTCTTTTTAAATCATCAAATATGCAATTTTAGAATTTCTAAATTTTCCTTTTATTTTTATTTTTTTAATATTTTTACACATATCTAAATTAGGCCACTGTTTGACTTTGCGCTTTTTACTGCTATTTTGTCGCAATAGCCCCAAATAGCCTTAGTGATGCCTCACCACTATGCGATGCTATCTGTCATCGATAACCTTGTCAAAAGCCTAAACCTATCTTGATTTATCTTAACCGATTTTGATTTATAACACTCATTAATGCTATGAAAGTAGCTTCTATCTGTTCATTGAGACGACGAAATCCCTTCACTCGTAACAAGAGACAGATCAACTAGTTATAAAGCATCACATTTGTAATGTGATAGTCATCAATTCGCTTTCAATAACGAGTTTTTCTTCTCTATTGATCTTTTCCATGGTTAATAATCTCTCATTTTCCCGTTAATAAACAATGTTAATACACATTAAGTGAACAAAGCACTTAAGATGAGATTTTTACTAGATCTTAATGAGCTTTGCTATAAATAGTAAAATAACTTGGAACTTGGACAAAGTTCAACCAGAGCTTAAGCATGCCTAGCCTTGACAATTTGTCACGTGCCTTGGCCCATATGGAATCTCAGCTTAAAAAATGTAAGGTAGAAAGCAAGAAGTTAAATTTTAGTTGCATGTCACTTTAACCATTTAAGTATCATCTTGTTGCCTTCGCATCTCAACAATCTGGATATTTAACTGTGATGATTTTTTGTATCGAGGGAACCTTAGTTTGAAGTGTTCCTTTCCTGGGAGCACATTACTTCCAATATCTTCTAGTGAAGAACTGTTTCGCAGGACTTGATCATGTAAGACTTGCCCCTAGTTCAACTCCACTCCCATGAGTATGTGTCCTACTTAAAGCACGCCACATATCCCATGGTCAATAAGAGGGGATTTGAACCTTGGCCGACTAGTGGGAACTTTCCCCACCTAACCAACTAGCGGACTAGTGGATATTCAATTGCAACAATTCACCAAAAAATCCAAGGAAAAAATGAGCAGCTAATAGCCTAATATAAATTCAAAACATTGACAAGACATTATGCACAATTTAACTTTTGAAGAGCATGATCTAGAAAACTTGAGTTGCAATAGCATGTGGTCCACCAAGATAATCACATACATTCAATGGTGATGCATCAACTCACTCTTCAATTACAACTTTTCAAATATATATTGACATCTGCAACATATCGATTACATTTAATGCAAACCCAAGAGAATATCCAATCAGATCTGGGTTGTGGACATGTTACTCACATGTCATTATAAATATCCAAAAAGCTTTACAGCAATTTACAAATATGCTTGTGCTTAGATCAGCTAAAATGTAATTACTATCCAGAAATATATTTCTCCCAATTCTTGAAACGGCCGACATATAAAACAACTTGCTAATAATTGTAAGAAGATTCATATTACCAAGCAAAAAATGTTCTCACATAATAGATCCCGATGTATGTGGAACACTATGATGCAACGAATATAGACTCCATATAGGTGGAATACCAAAATGCAAAGAGATTTGTGATTTAAACTTACATACAGTGCACGTATAACGAAAACTAGTGATGTGTTATCAATAACTCTCAAGTCTCGACCAAATACTATTCGTAACCAATGCGTGCATAAAAGAGGATCCCCCCGGTCCCCGCTGGTGGCCCAACAGTTGATTTAAACTTACATACAGTGCACGTATAACGAAAACTAGTGATGTGTTATCAATAACTCTCAAGTCTCGACCAAATACTATTCGTAACCAATGCGTGCATAAAAGAGGATCCCCCCGGTCCCCGCTGGTGGCCCAACAGTTGGGTGCTAGGGCTTGGAATAAGAAGTCCAAGGATCGATCTATATCACTCCTATCCCCAATTTCATTCGATGAGTATTGTGCCGCTCGTGCTATTTTCATGGGCCCCGGGTCGCATAGGGGATCAATGGCTCTGGGGGGTTTATTGACTAGGTTAATCAGGCTTAGTACTGGGGTTGGGTTTAGGCCCCCCATAGATGGTACTATGATAGGGTCCCATAGGTGAACACATATATGTAAGGGTGGGCCCCCGATACTAGGGTGTGCTCACTTATGGTGAAAAGAGCTTTGGACTGTGAATCCCGTTCCTCTATGGTTGGGAGTGCTCCAACCTTGAACCCTCGTTCTTGATACATGATTGACCTAGCCTGGAATCCTTGTCATAAAAAAATGCATGTTTCGCCAAATAGAGCAAATTTGTAGGGTAATGAGCAAATCCTCCAAATGAAATCACATATCAACACAATTAGCATCTTTATATAAGTAAATGTTGTGCATGGCAACTAAATTAAACACGGAAACCAATCATAATCATGCATCATCCAAATTAAGAACAATCCATCAGTTAACATAACAAGAACAACAAATTATGCAAGATAGATAAGCAAAACTTACGGAGCCATCCAGCGGTACGTCCCGGTCTCAGGCGTCATCCCCTCCGGCTTCACCTCAATCCTGGCCACCCCAAAATCAGCAATCTTAATTGATTTATCACCAAATATCAGCAAATTATCCGACTTCAAATCTCTATGAATGAATCCCAAACTATGCACATAAGCCATTCCCCTCGCCACATCAAGCGCCTGTCTCACTGCAACCCGCACGGGTATTGACCTATGATGCCTCTTCATCAAGAACTGCCTCACCGACCCGCCCTTAGCATACTCAGTCACTATACACCACACCATCTGCTTCCTACAAGCTCCTACAAATCCAACAATGTTAGGGTGCTTCAAATTAGACAACAACATCACCTCTTGAGCAAACTGTTGCTCCATCGTCTGAGCATGTTCTGGATCATTCTCCGGCCTCTCCAACAGCTTAATGGCGACCTCCTCGCCGTTGTAGGTCCCGCGATAGAGCTTGCCGAAGGCTCCCTGAGCAAATACATCACCCATGTTGAGCTTACTGAGATCAATGGCCCATTGCTCATAACTCCCGAGAGAGAGAGTGGGCTGATTCGGGTCCATCAACAGTTGGGCCAATATGTCGTTGTCGAGAGAGCGGGGGCCCCGGCGGCGGGGCCCGACCACGCTGTTCCTTGTGGAGAGGTCCTCGAAGGCCTTGAGACCGGGGTGGTGGAGGATTCTGGTCCGGGAGTTGCCGGAGTTGGACCCCACGCTGCTGTTGTTGTCGGCCTGCATCACGGTGGACCCTACCCCTGCGCTGCAGGAGATGGACATGCCAGCAGTGACGGTATCGTCGCCGCCGCCCAGGCCGAGCTTGAGGTAGCCGGCATCGAAGAAGTTGTGGTGGATTCTGTTGTCGTTGCCAAAGGAGAACCCGTTGAGATCCATCTGAAACCCTAAAAAGAAAGAAAAAACACCTGAGGCTGCAGAATTCAATGAAACTGAGCTCGATCGCGAGGTTTTGAGGAGAAGATGAAGGGAATGAGGCGTTAGGAGAACTCGTTGAGGTCCATCGCGATGGTCAATTAGGGATTTCTTCTTGAAACCCTAGAAAACCCTAGAGACGGTGGAATTCGATGAGATCGAGCTCGGTGGAGAGGGTTTGCGCAGAGTAAAGATCGAGTGGGGTTGCTTTAGAGAGAGAGAGAGAGAGAGAGGCGTTAGGTCTTGTCTTGCGATTGCCCAGTGGCGATGAGAGAGAGAAGAGAGACGACCACTGTGTCGTCGTTTTTCTCGTTCTTCTGTCAGATTTCCCCCCCTTTTTTTTTAAATTTTGTTTTTTTTTTAAATTGTAATAATTATCTTCAGTGTGTACATTAATTAACTAGTGTCGTCTAGCTGAGATTTTCGGTAGTTGGGTTTTTTGCTTGCGCCCCCTTTAGGGCCCGTTTGGTTGGTTTCCTAAAAATCAAAAAAAGGAAATCGGTACAAGGAAATCAATAAAATAATATTTTTATCCATTTCCATCCCTAAAACTCACCCACAACATCTAATAAAATATTATTTTTATCTTCCAACTCATCTCATTTCATCTCCTTTCTTACATTTAAAAATAAACCAAACACAAGAAATGTGTGACATCATCCAACTCATCACAACTCATCTTATCCCATTTTTAAAAATCACACACATCATCCAATAATATTGTGACAACTCATCTCATCTCATTAAACATTCCTTTCCATCCATTTCCTCAAAAAAAAACAAGAAATTGGTTTCCTTAAGTACGTGTCACATCATCCAATAATATACCTCCAACTCATCTCATCTCATCTATTTTCCTATTTTTAAAAACGAACCAAACACAAACAACCTCAAAACATCATCCAATAATATACCTCCAATTCATTTCCTTATTTTTTTAACCAACCAAACAACCTCAAAACAATTTTTTTTTAAAATCACTCACATCATCCAATAATAAGTTGACAACTCATCTCATCTTATCTCCTATTCTACAATTTCTTTCTTTTTTAAACCAACCAAACAACCTCAAAACAAATATTATAAGAAATAGGTTTCCTATTCTTTGATTTCCCAAAAAAAATGGCCAAACGAACAGCCCCTTAAGTTCTGGAAATAGCTTGTTTTAGCATAATTATCGTTTAGCGAGTCTTCATCTATAGGCACTAGGGGTGCCAAATGGTTTGGTTTTATCAGAACCTATCCGTATCCGTATCCGTATCCGAACGGATGCGGATATGGTAAGCTATTTTAAAATCGGACGGATACGGTTTCAAATACGGGTCCGGTTTTAGTTTTTTTCGGGATACGGATTCGGATACGAATATAAGGGTTGCGGATACGGATATCCACAATTTAATAATACGGATACAGATACAAATATATGGAAATTACATATTTTATAGAAAAGTTCACAGAGCACATAAAATTTGCACTTGTTCAAAACAATGTAAATTATATGTTACAATAAATACTTTATTTACATTTACCCTTCTTAATGCTATAATTATATTGCAAATATGCATATAAAACCCCAAACATTTATAACATTTTTAACACCTTACATTATCTTAAATTATAAAGTAAATATATAATTACATTTTTTTATAGAATAGTGCCCAATTTTATAAAAAAAACTCTACGTTTAGTAAAATTTACAAAATAAATCCTAGAATTTTGCACAAACAACCATTAATATTTATGTTATAAAATAATTTGAAACTTTGCATAAATAACCCCAAACGTAATATATTTATAGAAAAAACCTAGGAACTATATAAGATTTATAGATTAACCCATATAAACTTTAAAAATAAACCTAAAAATATTATACGCAACATGTTCTCAATGATGAGAAAATTACAAATACGTCCTCAAAGATTGCGTGATTACATTTAAAATCAAACTTTTTATAGATTATACAAGAAATTGCGTAAAATATATATCCACGTATTTGCATGTATTTGTTATTGTTGTATTATATTTTTATCATTTACGACCACGTACGTTTATGTAAGGAGAAGCCTACAACCACATAGATTTACTCATTTGGTTGTAATTTATACATGGGTGTACCAATTCATATCTGATTCATACTCATTTGTCGAATATCTGTTTCATACCCGTGAATCGTGATCGTATCCGATCTGGTTCTCAAATATCTGAACCTATCCGTTTTCGATGAGTGCGACTATGGTTAAGGTTTTTTCTTACCGAAGATAATCCTTATCCGTTTATAGAAAGTGGGAATGGATATGTTAAGTATCATATCCGAACCATATCCGCTCCGTTAACACCCCTATCTATAGCACTTCATGCACAAAAAAAGAAATTTAAATATATTATACGGTAAGTATAAAAAATCCATTTATAAGACAGACAACTCTATTCCTATTTAAGTTAGTTAGAGATATTCGTTTTAATGCATCGTCACTAGGGGTGTCCAAAAAGCCCGCCGGCTCGCTTCATGCACAAAAAAAGAAATTTAAATATATTATACGGTAAGTATAAAAAATCCATTTATAAGACAGACAACTCTATTCCTATTTAAGTTAGTTAGAGATATTCGTTTTAATGCATCGTCACTAGGGGTGTCCAAAAAGCCCGCCGGCTCGGGCCCGGCCCGGCCCGGAATAGTATAGTATATTTTTTTTATATGTATTATATATGTATAATATATGTATATATAATATATTTTTATATATGTATAATATATGTATATATATATATATATAATATATGTATATATAATATATTTCTATATATGTATAATATGTGTGTGTATATATACTCTCTCTTATATATGTATAATGTATGTATGTATAGTATATATAACTCTTTCTTATACTATATACATGTATATATAAGTATATCTCTCTTATATATGTATACTCTCTCTTATATAAGTATATTATAGGTATACACTCTCTTATATATGGTATAATATATGTGTGTGTATATAATATACTCTCTCTCTTAGTATATAGTATATATAAGTATACTCTCTCTTATATATGTATATATATGTGTGTGTGTGTGTGTATGACTCTCTCTCTCAGTATATAGTGTATATAAGTATTCTCTCTTATATATGTATAGTCTCTCTTATATAAGTAATATATAAGTATACACTCTCTTATATATGTAATATATGTGTGTATATATATATACTCTCTCCTTAGTATATAGATGTATATATAAGTATGCTTCTCTCTTATATATGTATAATATGTGTGTGTGTATACTCTCTCTCTTAGTATATATGTATATATAAATATACTCTCTCTTATATATGTATACTCTTCTTATATAAGTATAAATATAGGTTATACACTGCTTATTTATATATGTATAATATGTATACTCCCTCTTATAAAGGTATACTCTCTGCTTATATATGTATACTCCCTCATATATAAGTATACTCTCTCTTATATATGTATAATATGTGTGTGTATACTCTCTCTCTTAGTATTAAGTATAGTATATTACAACGGCTACTTCTTCCTCATTGGCCCAACGGACAATGGCTACTTATGCGATTTTCTCTCTCTTAAGTTATAGATTATAAATATTATATAATATATTTACATATAACAGTATATGTATATATAATATATATAATATATAGTTACATAATAATTTATAAGTATATCTATATACATAATTATATAAATATAATAAATTTAAACTAATTTTTAGCAAATTTTTTATCAAAAAAAAAAGAAAAGGAAAAAATTGAAAAATCCGGGCCGACGCCGGAGCCCGCGCCCGGTTGGGCCCGGACCCGGCCGCGGGGTACCCGGGGTCCGGGTCCGAGCTTCGGTTTTGGCCCGGCTCCGGGTCCGCGGCTCCGTTTTGCCCGCTCCCGGGGCCGGATTTTTCGGGCCGGGCCGGGCCGGATGGACAGGCCTAATCGTCACTTTCACTAAAAATCGTAGAATACATCTATCTTGAATCATATTTGCTTAGAAAAAATTTGAACTTTTCTTCGGGTAGCTTATGTTTTACGAAAATTTTCTTTCCTTTTGCATATGCATCCCCCCCTTTTTTTTTTTTAGAGAAAAACAAGGGATATTCTCTGTTCATTAAAATAAAAGTATTTGTACAAAATTAGGATACGAAATGTATCCATAGTAATTAGTAGATAGAAAATAATAATTTCTCTAACTAGGGATGTATGACCTTCTTCTTTCAAACATCCATGAAGGTGAAGAGAGGGCATTGCCGTCATTCACCGTTGACATGGATATAAGAGAGAACCAAAGCCGGTCATACATATAGTAAAGAGAAATTAAACTTTCTATAGACTAATTGAAACAAACAGACTTGCCAACAAAAGATATATACAACAAACTGATAATAACAATTTAAACACTGTTGCACCTCGAGATAGGATTGTCATCGAGAGCCGCTGCAAGTAAGTGCATCCTTCCCTCTTCTAGAACCTGACCATTCATATAAAGCAGAGACAACTGAGTTAATGATTGTGTTAGCAGAGAAGGATTTGTTTTCGAAAACAAATTAAATTATTCCTTGATTTCCACAAGAACCAACACACTGCAGAGAAAATTGATCTCCATATAATTCCCTGAATATTATGTAGAGATTCAACAGCAATGAGAAGTTCATATAGAGATGTTGGCCAAATGAAAGGTAGATAATAATCACTGAAATGTTTCCATACTGTTTTGGCGAGAGAGCATGTGAAGAATAAGTGATCACTAGTTTCAGGATGAATATCACATAGAATGCATTCCACAAGAACCAACACACTGCAGAGAAAATTGATCTCCATATAATTCCCTGAATATTATGTATAGATTAAACAGCAATGAAAAGATCATATAGTGATGTTGGCCAAATGAAAGCTAGATAATAGTCACTGAAATGTTTCCATACAGTTTTGGCGAGAGAGCATGTGAAGAATAAGTGATCACTAGTTTCAGGATGAATATCACATAGAATGCATGTCGAGTCTCCATTCCAACCTTTTCTTATAAGATTATCTTTAGTGTGAAGTCTGTTCAAGGATAAAAGCCATGTGAAGAACTGAACTTTACTTGGCATAACTTGATTCCACACAACTTTGTAAGTAGAAAAAACAATTCCTCTAGCATTTAGGAAATCATATAGAGATTTGACTGTGAATGATCCATTTACTGTAAGAGACCATATAGGGATATCAAACTGTTTGGTAACACTGTGAAAAGCAATTAAATTCATAAGCTCAAGTTTGGCATTGCAGGAAGAGGATGAGATGCTTCTCTTCAAAAGTGGATGCCAATGCCATATATGGTTATGGAAGTTTCCTTCAGGAAGAGGATGAGATGCTTCTCTTCAAAAGTGGATGCCAATGCCATATATGGTTATGGAAGTTTCCTTGACTACGAATATTGACATTTGTAGACAAAAAGTGGATGCCAATGCCATATATGGTTATGGAAGTTTCCTTGACTACGAATATTGACATTTGTAGACAAAGATAAAGAGTACAAGCATGAGTATAAACTTGTCAAAGTATTCTTTCCAATCCATTTATCTTCCCAGAATCTAATATTTTCACCCGAGCCTAAAGTCCACTGAAGGAGATGAAGAAACATATCTTTGTTTGAGATTATGTCATTCCAAAATAAAGAATTTGATGAATTGAAATTGGCTAATTGCAGATGTGAAGCATTTCTGATATAAAGTTGATGAAGGAAAGCTCCAACGTAAGAATTTCTGTCAAGACATTTCCATAGCCATTTAGAAAGAAGAGATATGTTGAACAATTTGAGATCCTTCACTCCCAAACCTCCCTCTGATTTACTTAAACATACTTTTTTCCAATTGACTAAGCATTTGAAAGGTTTTGAAATATTTTTTTCAGTCTATAAAAAGTTTTTCCTGATTTTATCAACTTCCCTAATCACCCACGTAGATAGTTTGTAAAAGAACATAATATATAAAGGAATGGAAGAAATGACTGAATTTAGCAAAACAAGCCTTCCTCCAAAGGATAAACAGTTACTCTTCCAAGATGAAAGTCTCCGATGCAGATTATCCAACACAGGTTGCCAATCAGATTTAGATAGTTTACCACTTTTTAAAGGCAAACCTAGATACTTGATTGGAAGCTTATCTAATTTGCAGTTAAGGGAAGAAGCTAGAGATTGACCTCTGTTCTACATTCTACCAAAGTAAATAAGAGATGATTTTGAGTAATTAATTCCCAATCCTGAAATATCTTCAAAGATATATAAGATTGCCTTAAGGATAGAGATGTCATTAGAAGTGTTTTTGACAAAAAGTAAAGTATCATCTGTAAATTGAAGACTTCTTATCTGATTAAGAGGTTCCTTAATGTTCAAGCTGGCTAATAAACCCTCTTCAACATTATACATGATCATCTTGCATAGAACGTCAACTGCTATGTTGAAGAGTAAAGGAGATAAAAGGATCTCCTTGTTTTAAACCTCTTTTGCATTTAAAAGACTTGGTTGGAGATCCATTAACAAGAACAGAGCAGTTGGAAGTGAAAATAATATAAAGTATCCAAGAACACCATCTCTGACCAAATCCACGAGCCTTAAGCAGATTAATAAGAAAATTCCAATTAATAGAATCAAAGGCTTTAGCAAAGTCAATCTTAAACATGGCCACTTCCTTTTTCTTCTTAGAACAAAAATGTATCATCTCATTTGCCATTAAGATAGAATCAAGAGTTGTTTTACCAGATTGGAAGGATAATTGTGTAGGAGCGACCAACTCATGCATATATCACTAGTAAAAAATCGAATATCCTAGACGGAATATTCTAGACGGAAAATTTTCCGTCTAGTTTGTATTATTCTAGACGGAAAATTTCCGTCTAGAATATTCCGTCTAGGATAAAACATCCTAGACGGAAATTTCCGTCTAGGATAGTATTCTAGACGGTTTTATTTTTTTTAATTTTTTTTTAAATAATGATGTATCCTAGACGGAAATTTCCGTCTAGGATACTATGACCCATATAAAAAAATTAAAAACATCAATTTTTCGCTCCAAAATCGAAATTCCCCCCAAATTTCCGCCCAAAATCGAAATAAGAAGCTCTCCCCCCCTCCCCCCCCTAATTCTCTAACTCCTTCCCTCCCTCCCTCTCTCTCTCTGCGCCGCTGGCAGTCGATCCCCAACGACGCTGGCAATGGTGACGCCTCCGCCGTCGAATCCTTCGAGCGCGTCCTCAGCAACTCCCTCCGCAAGATTCCGTCGCAATCTCCACCTCCCGATGAGATTCTGGCGTCGACCTCGTTGATGCGCTCCCTCCTCGAGATGCGCTCCCTCCCCTCCCTCTCCCCCGACGCACCTACTCCACCTCCTCTCCTCCCTCCTCTGCCAAGGGAACGTCGTCCTCTCCACCAACCTGATCCATATCTCCCTCTCACTCCGCGACTACTCTGGGGCGCTCCTCCTCTTCCCCGACCTGCGGCGGAGGGGCCTTGCGCCCGACCTCATCGCTTAGATGCTTACAACTCCCTTGTTGACGCCCTCTCCAAGGCCAGCCTCTTCAGGGACGACCGCGGCATGCTCGACGATATGCTCCACTCGCGGGTGAAGCCCGACGTCGCCACCTACTCCTGCATCCTCACCGTGCTGATCGATTGGGATAGGTACCTGGACGTGTTGAACCTGTTCACCGAGATGCAACTGTCGATGCTCGCACACAGTTAAGATTGGATTAGTCTCTTGTATGCAATTATGAGTTTGTTTACTAGTTAATCTGAATGTGCTTGGTTCTGTAGGGAGAATGGGGAGCATGTGAATGCTAAGGAGAAGATTGCAAGTCATGAAAAACAGCCGGAGCAGGATGATACTGTTAGGATACACCCCAATAAGAACGCCTCTAACGGAGACGCAATACACAAAATAAAGGCACAAGATCAACCAGAGTACTCACAGATATACGTGGTTCACTCCTTCGGAGCTACTCCACGGTGCAACGACGACGCCAAATTCTTTTATATCCCAAAAGAATAGATCCAAGAGAACACCCTCTCTTGATCAGATACACTCCAAGAACTCTCACAAACTCTCTCTATGTTTTCTCTTACTCTTCTATAAGAGGAGTTGTTTCTGGGATGATATTTCCTTAAGAATTTAGGGCCCTATTTATAGTGTTTGGGAAACACTATGCACTAATAAAATATTATTAGTGGGACCCGCCACTAATAATAATTAACTAGTGGGACCCGCATACTTTTTCTTTCTTCAAACTCTTCGGCCACTTTTTCACAAATGTCATAAAAGTGGGGGCCACCTTTTTACAAATGTCAAGAAAATGGGCTGGGGTTGGTGGAGCTTTCGGCTAACAATCTCCCACTTGAAGATTTGATTGAGTATCAAACATATCTTCACATCATTCTTGGTTGCATCATCCGGATGTATTGTATCTTTGGCGTCTTGCACGGCCTTCAACATTCTCAACGGAGGCCATATGAGGCTGCCCACAGCCTCACCTTCTCGAGTGGAACTGGCTTGGTCAGCATATCGGCTGGATTGTACCTCGTATCAATCTTCACAAGCTTGAACTCGTTCATGCTTTGCTATCTCCGTATGGCATGGTGCTTCACGTCAACATGTTTGGTCCGAGCATGGAATGCGTCGTTCTCTGACAAGTGAATGGCACTCTGACTGTCGCAGTGGATGAAGTATTTCTCAAAACTTACTCCACGCTCGAGAAGAAAAGCTTTCAACCATAGCAACTCCTTTGTTGCCTCTGCTACAGACACGTACTCGGTTTCGGTTGTCGACAAAGTCACAGTATCCTGTAACTTGGATCTCCAACTTATCGCTCCACCACCCAAGATGAAGATGTAGCCGCTCGTGCTCCTTCTTGAATCTATATCCCCTGCGTAGTCTGCATCACAAAAGCCCTCTAGCTGCAAATCTGCCCCGCCATACTCAAGACAACGGTCGGACGAGCTTCTCAAGTAGCGTAGAAGCCACTTGACCGCACCCCAGTGTTGTTTCCCTGGATTGCTCATAAAGCGGCTCACAACTCCCACTCCTTGTGAAATATCTGGCCTCGTGCACACCATCGCATACATCAAACTCCCGACGACAGATGCATATGGTATGTTTGCCATGAACTCGTGCTCTTCAGCAGTCTCTGGTGCTTGGGTCTTCGATAGCTTGAAATGACTTGCAAACCGCGAGTCCACCGGTTTAGCTTTCTCCATGCCAAACTTTTCAAGAATCTTCTCAATGTAGGCCTTCTGAGACAACCTCAGCCTCCGTGCTGATCTGTCTCTGATGATCCTCATCCCCAGAATCTGGTTTGCTGGACCCAGATCCTTCATCTCGAAGCACTCGGAGAGACGCCCCTTGAGTTCCTCAATGCGGGCCAAGTCGGGCCCTGCAATCAACATGTCATCAACATAAATCAAGAGTATCACATAGGATTCGTCATATCTCTTGATGAAGCAGCAATGGTCTGTGTCGCATTTGAGAAAACTGTTCTCCTCCATAAAGTTCTCGAACTTCATGTACCACTGTCGCGGAGCTTGCTTCAGGCCATACAAACTCTTGCGCAGGCGACACACGAGGCCCTCCTTGCCTCGCTCCTCGAAGCCCACTGGTTGATGCATATAGATCTCCTCCTCCAAATCTTCATGAAGGAATGTCGTCTTCACATCCATTTGCTCTAGATGGAGATCTCGAACTTCCATAATGCTCAGCACAGTTCGAATCATGGTCAACTTGACGACGGGAGGGAAAACGTCAGAATAGTTTATCCCTGCTTTCTGCTCATAACCCTTCACTACAAGCCTCACCTTGTAGCGTCTCCGTCCATCGGCTTCATCCTTGACCCGATAAATCCACCGATTGTGAAGAGCCTTTCGCCCTCGTGGAAGCTTTACAAGCTCCCAAGTCCCATTCTTCATCAAGGACTTCATTTCTTCCTCCATGGCAGACTCCCACTCGCCGCGAGCTTTGCCGGTCTGCTGTACCTCCTCATAGCTCTCTGGCTCACCACTGTCAGTCAGGAGAAGATAATTCATGGTGGAAAGGTACCTCTCTGGCACCCTTGGATTTCTTGGAGCTTTGCGAATTGCGATCGGCAACTCTGCTGGATCCTGCTGCTGTGCATCCTGCATGTTCTCTTGGTCTCCGTCTTCTATGCTGATTGGTATCTCACCACCGTCCTCACTGTCAGCAATATCTGGAAAAAGAGGGGGAGATAGCTGACTCCCACTCACCTCTTTGGTCTTGTACACCGCATTCTCATGGAATACGACGTCACGACTGCGCACCACCTTGCGCGCATCGTGATCCCAGAAACGGTACCCATACTCATCTCCTCCATAGCCGATGAAAGAGAGCTTCTTTGACTTTGGATCAAGCTTTGAACGATCTGCAAGATTGGTCATAACATAGGCGTCACAACCAAATACTCGTAAGTACTCTAGCTTCAGCTTCTTTCCGGTTCAATCCTCTTCAGGTATCCCATAACTGAGAGTCACGCATGGCCCGCGGTTGATCAAGTATGTAGCAGTATTGACAGCTTCGGGCCAAAAACTCTTAGGCAATCCGGAGTGGATCCTCATACTTCTGGCGCGCTCCAAGATAGTGCGATTCATGCGCTCCGCCACTCCGTTGTGCTGAGGTGTGCCTGGGACGGTCTTCAGTCTCCGAATCCCACGGGACGAGCAGAAGTTCTCGAACTCCTGGCTGCAATACTCGCCTCCATTATCAGACTTTAGGCACTTCAGCTTATTGCCTGTTTCGTTCTCCACACAGGCAAGCCACTTCTTGAAGACGATGAAAACATCTGACTTGTGCTTCAAAAAGAACCCCACAATTTTCTTATAGCATCATCAATAAAAGTGACAAAGTAAAGAGAGTTACCAACAGATGGGACTTGCGCAGGTCCCCACACGTCGGTGTGCACCAACTCCAATTTCTGCAGTTTTGGAGCCGGTCCGGTCTTGTTGAAGCTCACCTTCTTTTGTTTGCCTAGGATGCAGTCCTCACAGAAAGTCAGATCGATCTTGTTCAGACCCGGAAGCCTCTCTCCCGCAGTCATAATCTGCATCCCCTTCTCGCTCATGTGGCCAAGTCGTCGATGCCAAGTCATGCAGTCGACGGATGATGATGATGATGCTTGTCCTACGACAAGCAAGTGGTCGATCTTCCCGTTGGCGATGTAGAGAGACCCCTCGCGTTTGCCGTGTGCCACCACCAGGGCACCCTTGGACACCGCGGTCATAATCTGCATCCCCTTCTCGCTCATGTGGCCAAGTCGTCGATGCCAAGTCATGCAGTCGACGAATGATGATGATGATGCTTGTCCTATGGTAAGAAAGTGGTCGATCTTCTCGTTGTCGATATAGAGAGACCCCTCGTGTTTGCCGTGTGCCACCACCAGGGCACCCTTGGACACCTTCCAGCTTCTCTGCTCGAAGGATACTCTGTAACCGGAGTCAGTCAGTTGCCCGACTGATATAAGATTTCGCCTGAGATCTGGTACATGCCGAACATCATTCAGCGTCAAGGTGGTCCCGCCCTCCATCTTGAGGGTACAATTTCCCTTCCCGGAAACCTTACAAGGTTGATCGTCGCCAAGATAGACTGTCCCCAAGTCCTTCTTTACGAACGATGAAAGCAGCTTTTGTTGTGAGGTTGCATGGAAAGATGCGCCAGAGTCGATGACCCACGCATCACTTTTGTCTTCTAGGGATAGGAGAAGTGCATCCGAATCCGTCTCGTGCATGAGATTGGCTGCACCGTCAGCCCGATCATCCCCTGCTGATGCTTGAACAGTAACTCTGCAGTCCCGTGCAAAGTGGCCCTTCTTTCCGCATCTGAAGCACTTCCCTTCACCGTAACCATTCGGGTTAGGCCCTTTAGACTTCCCTCTGGATTTTGATTGGCCTCGTCGTCCCCTACCCTTCTTCTGTGCACGCCCTCGTGCCTCGACATGCAGAGCACTCCCACTGCTAGAGGCCTCAGCTCCTGAGACTTTGCGGCGAGATTCTTCATCTAGAATTGCCCCAACCACTGTGTCGAGCTTCATATTGTCGTTGCCATTAGCGTTGCTCACAGCCATTACCATATTCTCCCATGAATCTGGTAGACAAGAAAGTAGCAGAAGAGCTTGGATCACGTTGTCGAACTTTAGATCTACTGCAGCAAGCTGTTGCACCACAGCCTGAAATTCGTTCAAGAAGTCCGCCACGCGAGCTCCTTGCTGCATCTTGCAAAAGACACACTGATTCCATACGAACTCTAGGTCATGTGCCCCTCTAGACTTGATCTCCTACACGGTTTGGACTCTTTGTTCTTGCGCGACCAAATACCCCTGCCTACCCGGGCTCAACTGAATCTCAGTATCCTTTCTTTCAAAGCGGCATAATTCCATAAAGGCTAGCGGTGACCTCACTATACGAAAGAGATGCATTCCCTCATTAATAAGAGTAGAACGAATGTCTCACCCCATACTCCTCGTCGTGTAAGGAACTCAATAATAACAACCGCCTTCGTCCTCATCTTTTAACCATAACTTTACATCGTCAAAAATCATAAGAAGTTTTGTATAGGTTCATGTGATCACCAGATGGAGGCTCTCTCTTCTTATAATTTGCAAGCATAAAGCTCATCTTCAAATGCAACGGTTTCTACACCTCTTGTCATAATACTTGCCCTCTAGGATCTTCCAAAATCTTCTTAGCTGAGCTCTTATGATCACATCATATTTCAAAATCTTGAGTTAAACAAATCTAATATCACCACCCCACACGTCGTTCTATTCATCTTCTTCCAAACCCTTCTCCTTAATGTCGTCCGGTCTCCCGTCCAACTCCAAATGTCTTCT